CGATCCCCTTTCAAAATTCCATTTTATTTAGTTCCGCCCATTGTTTTCTCGTTTAGGGCACACGCTTTTTATTACTTGGGGACCATACGCCGCTTTTCATGGAATGGCACGGAAGTGTCACATTGAAGGTTCCATGATAGCCGCCGTATGAACACATCTGCGGATGTTTCTAAATTCAAAATTTTACTATTTCACGTTTATGTTGAATTCTGCTTAAGCCGGTGCTAGGGGGCGTGGACGGTAGCTTGCACTTTCCAGTACCGTCCATGAACAGGCTCAATCAAACCGAGCCTGCAACATTTTCAATTTTGCCGTGTTGGGCTTTCTTTAGGGATTCTGTATTCATCTATGTTATGATCACATCCGTGTTATTTGTGCCGTGTGGCGGCTGTAAAAAGTCTCCCCGTACATTTAATCAATGATGTTATATTTTCGATCCTTGAAGATCGTTCAGCACGACATTATTGTTGTGCTTGTGGTATTTTTAGTTTCAAGTTTTCGGCATTTTCTAGTTGGGTGGTTCCAATATTCCTACTTGAATAATGTTGAATCACCCTTAGGATATGTTGCCTGCTTTTTAAATTTGTCTTTTGACGTCTTATCTGTGATACGCAGGCTTCATAACCTCCGATCCCCTTTCAAAATTCCATTTTATTTAGTTCCGCCCATTGTTTTCTCGTTTAGGGCACACGCTTTTTATTACTTGGGGACCATACGCCGCTTTTCATGGAATGGCACGGAAGTGTCACATTGAAGGTTCCATGATAGCCGCCGTATGAACACATCTGCGGATGTTTCTAAATTCAAAATTTTACTATTTCACGTTTAAATGTTGAATTCTGCTTAAGCCGGTGCTAGGGGGCGTGGACGGTAACTTGCACTTTCCAGTACCGTCCATGAACAGGCTCAATCAAACCGAGCCTGCAACATTTTCAATTTTGCCGTGTTGGGCTTTCTTTAGGGATTCTGTATTCATCTATTTTATGATCACATCCGTGTTATTTGTGCCGTGTGGCGGCTGTAAAAAGTCTCCCCGTACATTTAATCAATGATGTTATATTTTCGATCCTTGAAGATCGTTCAGCACGACATTATTGTTGTGCTTGTGGTATTTTTAGTTTCAACTTTTCGGCATTTTCTAGTTGGGTGGTTCCAATATTCCTACTTGAATAATGTTGAATCACCCTTAGGATATGTTGCCTGCTTTTTAAATTTGTCTTTTGACGTCTTATCTGTGATACGCAGGCTTCATAACCTCCGATCCCCTTTCAAAATTCCATTTTATTTAGTTCCGCCCATTGTTTTCTCGTTTAGGGCACACGCTTTTTATTACTTGGGGACCATACGCCGCTTTTCATGGAATGGCACGGAGGTGTCACATTGAAGGTTCCATGATAACCGCCGTATGAACACATCTGCGGATGTTTCTAAATTCAAAATTTTACTATTTCACGTTTAAATGTTGAATTCTGCTTAAGCCGGTGCTAGGGGGCGTGGACGGTAACTTGCACTTTCCAGTACCGTCCATGAACAGACTCAATCAAACCGAGCCTGCAACATTTTCAATTTTGCCGTGTTGGGCTTTCTTTAGGGATTCTGTATTCATCTATTTTACACTTATTAAAATGACATTTATATTTTATAAGTCTTACGATTGTTAACAAAACTCTTCAACTAAAAGTAATTGACTTTTATTGATTGAGTATGTCCATGTCTTATTTCGCCATAGACATGCTCGTTATTACATAATAAATGAAGCATACAATCATTTAAGCTTTTGCATGCATTTTATCTAATTTTGTCGTAATGACAGATCTAAATAATAAAGCATATATATTCGGTGGAAAAGAAAATTACACAAATTAGGAAAGTAGACTAAGTCATGTGTCGTTAAGGTAGCAGACTGTAAACAAAGAAGTATTTTGACTTCTATACAAAACTCTACTTTACTATACTTAAACCAATTGCAAACAAAGGTAAAGAAGCAAAAGTTAATACATCTATGTGGCAAATCAGGTTTTTTAACTGTAACAAATTACATGTATTTTAAATAAAGGGGCATAAAGATGTAAGACTTTCTGATACATAATTGGCCTAAAACTATCTACAACAATAAAGTTATGAAAGTTAAAAAAATGTTTGTCTGACTGATATGGCCGAAATATCGTAGTAAGTGAGTATACTCTTCTGTTTATCAGTCTTCAATATTTATCGAACGATCGCTGTTTTATAAACTCTTGTTTGTCCAACAATCATTAAGTCTTCTTCAAAACTAGTCCGACACACCTGCAAAACATTGGAAGGAGGAGGGTTATAATCAAAATAAACTATAGGAAGTGAGTTAATGTTCAAAATGAATTATAGGAGGTGTGTTAATTTTGGTTAATTTTCAAAATAAATTATAGGAGGAGTGTTAAAATCAAAATAAATTAAAGAACCATTATTTTACATTACATAATATCACATTCTGTCGTAAAATTAGAAAATATATATTACGTTCATTATCTAACATAAATGTATGTTGCACCTGGCTATGTATTCCATGTATGTAAGGCATTTCATATTGATCAAGAGTATTTTGTTAACATTACGTCAATAATAATATAATGATAATGTAACATGACTTTGCAATTTGTTTGTGATCGAAATTCAGTTATTAGTAAGATAATAACGTGGCTTAATTTATTTGATATTTGTGCTAATGACGTATTTGTATATATTGTAAAGACTTTTATCCTCAGTAAACAGTAATTAACCTCTCTATTCAATAGATAATTACCTTGCTTAAAATTGTCAGTTTAAAAATACTGCGTATAAACTACCTTTCTTTCTTAATTGCCCCTCAGAATCAGGGTTAGCAAGTACGTTCATATTTCTTTTATATCTGACACATTGAAAACAAAACACTCTACCACATCTGAAATAAACCGATTGTTATTGATTTGAAAAATTGAGTATTTGAGAATGTCAAATTTTTGTATGCTGCACAATTATTGCAAAAGCATTTTTATTGATTTGACTTGGGATAAAACATATTTATTGAAAAATGAAAAAAAGTGTGCCAATGTTATGTTTTTTTTAATTTGAATATTTTTAACATCCAGGGCATGTTTGTTTTCTTCTGGCTTTTATCAACAAAGTGACTTTTTTCATTCGTAAAATCAATTTACGTTGGTTTAAAAATATGTAAAATTTTGTTTTATTTATTTATTTATTTGTGCCTTACATGTTCAAAATCTAGTTTCTATTTTTGAAGATAGTGATGTGTATGGTTTGTTGGGAAATCATGTTTCAACGTCTGTATATCATTGTTATGTTTTGTTATAACTTGGTGTAAAAACTAGCATTTTATCATATATCTTAACTTTAATCTTAATGAGTCAAGAACAGTGCTTTACTGTTTCATTAGGACAGGGCGCAAATCTTTATAGAACAGTTATAAAACAGCTTATATAAGCAGAGAAAAGTAGATATTTTATATTACGCTTTTACAAAAATAAATCTCTGTTATGTGTCGAGAAGAAAAACAGGATGATTGTTACTTTTTATTTTCATATACATTTCAGGCGTAGCGTATAATCAGACCGTCTCATTTGATTATTTGATGAATTTATTGCAAGTACACATATCTCAACGTTCTCATTGCTGTCACTGAACTCGTTACCGGCTTCCTTTTTATAATTACTTCTACGGTGTAGGTTTTCATCATTCTGTGTCTTATTCACAATAACATTTTGGCCGTTGTCTTAAATAATTTCTGACATGAACAAGTACACTGAGTCGTGTATACAAATCAACATTATTCATCCCAACATATCAACATTATTTATCCCAACATATCAACATTATTTATCCCAACATATCAACATTATTTATCCCAACATATCAGCATTATTTATCTCAACATATCACCATTAATTATCCCAACATATTCAAGACAAATTATGATTTTCTGTAACAATGAATGAACTTGATCTATGATATGTAAGTTACTTACTAGAGAATAGCTATTACAACAGTTTTCTTAAATTATCATTTATTGTTTTTAAATGCGTTAATCAAAAAGTATAAATCGATAAATATCTATATTTAAATGACTTATATAATATAGGTGTGTAATATATGTATCAATGTTTTCAAGTTTCGTCCCGTGATTACGGAAGAAAGATAAAGATGTTTCCATTAAAAAATATTTTCTTAAAATGCATATGTTTACAATGGGCACATTTTCCATTATTATTTCAAAGATTTATAAAACAATAGAAATGTATAATTTGAAGTTCCTTGTAAAATTTCCCTTGAAACAACATAATGTTGATACAGATGCAGTTATTTAGAATATAATAAATCTATGTTCTCGTCTGAATGACTTTAGATTATTGTTGGAGAAGTGGGCAGGGCAGTGGTCAAATTTATGTTATCTATTTTGGGCACTCACATATATTGTGCAGCACAAACTGAGTTTATACTAGTACATTAATCTGCTTTAATATGTCATCTTTAGTTTTCCTCAGTAAAATTTATTTACTGGTACAATGAAATTCATTACTGGGAAAAAAAACTATTTATATTACGAATAACTTAGTAGTAAAGTTATAATCCTTAAAATAATCTTAAACTGTGTTCTTTTCTTCATGTGATAAAACTATGTACGTAGATTATTTTGTATTATTTATTCTAAATTATTCTGTTTTTACAAATTGATAAATAAACATATTATTGATCGCTTTCTGATAATCAGTCACTATACCTCACTTAATATTGATTCATGAATGATAAACAAGTATAACGATTGTATTGTTCTTTAAAATTGCTCAAATAAGACTTTGTATGACTTTGGCCATACATTCATACGCTCATAACAGGAAAAAACAAATATTTGTTGGTTTATTTGCTAACATCAATTTTTCAATCGTTGATTAGGCGAAGCGATAAAGGAATAATTAAACAGGCTTGTCATTGGTATTTCGACCCAATGATCAATGGACATGATATAAAACTCTTCTCTCAATTATTTCAATTTAATCAATGTTATCATTATTCGAACGTGCCTGCATTAGCAATATTCTTGGTAAATGCGTCAATCGATTTGGATATGTATATTTTAGATTTGGAAATTTCATTTTAAAAAATAAAAAATGATGATTTTTGATTTTACATAAGACTGGATAATATTTTATGATGTTAATTATGGAAGGAAAGTTTCAAGTTGTCATCGTTTATGTCACGGTTGTCCTGCACAGTATAGCATATTGTAACGGTATGTATTATGAAATAGAAATGAATTTATTATTATGTATGGTTTGTATCACAAAAAACTTTGAAAAAAGTAACAAAAATAATTCGACTTTCAAGTGTTCAAATAAAAAAAAAGTTAAGAAAAAAGGTCTATGCTTTTAATCGAAGGCGAAAAACGAATGATGGAAAATTGAATTTTCTTTTTTTGTATTTAAAACAGATATGCAAGAAAAAAATCTTCCTTTCTAGTATTCTGGTAAATTTATCCAAAGTGTCTATGTGAAATTCAAAAACATGTTATTAATGAATTTAAAGACGATCGGTCCGATTTGTCTGTCAGATAGTATTCATTTTGGAATCAATTGTTTGATATTTCAAGTACATTGATTTGCTGTTGAAAACCTAATGAGTCTTCATTAGGTATAATGAATGGTTTGTTTGCTGAACTGTTAAATAAAAAGAAATTGTATTCCGACGACTCTGTTATTCTAATGTCAAGTAAAATCCAAATGAAATATAATTTGTTTCATATTCTAAACTTAAAATGTGTCTGCAATTTTACCATTGCATTTTGGAAATACTTGAGTCATTCTCTTCAGGTCTTTATATAATGTTAAATCTGAATCTGTTATCCAGTGTCATCTTTGACTGTGAGTTTTGGTTAGTTCTACATTTCAATATCTCAAAAATGATTTACATTTCACTCAAGTATGGATCTTGGTGATAGGGCTCATATTGGCAGAAACCTTTTGTAAAATTGTTACTTGTTAAATGTGGAGCAGTTTTTTTTGGTCAGATATATAAAATTCAATAAGATGATTCTCTGCTTAAATGGCAGACCTTTTTGTTCCGGTGATTTCTGGATAGTTCGTATAACTAAATAAACGAGTCATACAAACCAACAACAATGATTTAAACTGTTTCTTCAAATTATTTAAAAAATTTAAAAATTAAAAAAAAAAAAAGTTTCATTTGTTTTGACATGTTATTTCTATTGCATGTAAACTATGCTGTACATTTAATTATACATGTATATTGTATCATGATAATTATTCAATTATTCCGATATTGCAATTTTACCAAAAAAAAAACAAAAAAAAACAACAAAAAAAACAAACAATAAATAAAAAGCAATATTAAGTAAAAAAAGAAAAGAAACTACTCATTAACAATTCTTGACATAAAGTGCTATCACTCATATATACAAATCTACTTAGCTAACCTAAATATTTGTTTCTTCCCTTGAAATAAGCAATAGGTTCTAATTTAAGGGCATTAAGTCGAAAACGAAGTAAGTGACAGAAGTTTATTTTCACTTCAAATGTTTCTGTGATCATATTCAAAGATGTTATAACGTTTCCAAAGATGTTGTAACGTTCTAATAAATCCTGTAATGAAATGTCTTACCTGCTAAATGTATATATGAAACCTTAACATACGCTTTAAACTTTTTAATATACAGTTAATATAAAACAACAAACACAAACAGTATTTATTGTATAGGTATGCGTAAACTTGTGACATCATAAAGAATAATTCCCGCGATTATACTAAATAACAGGAAAGGTAAGTGTAAGATAATACCTATCATCTGTTTACTTTTATCATGTTGCGTTTTCTTACCAGTATTTAGCATTAACAGAAATATATGTTATTATATTTGAAGGAACTCCATGCAACGACGTCAATCTAGCATCGGGAAATGTCCGCCAAAACGGAATTTATTCTATAGATAACGGAAATGGAGGTTATGTAAAGATATTTTGCCAGTTTTATGAAGGTTTTGGATATTCATTTGTCTCCAATAAAACAAATGAACATATAAATATGTCTATGTTAATGGATGATACAAGTCACGTGATTGTACGTCATAAACGCATTGACGGTAAACAATATACTGCTACAATAAGACAACTTGATAGTTTCTCTCATATTCCAGTTACTGTTCAGTTTAACTCCCATGATGGTTACAGTTCACCCTCAAATACCGCTCTGTCGCCCTACATCTATGTTGGTTTCATATCAATATCAAACACAAAGAGGGGCGATACTAATGGTTGGATTATAAATAACGATAGTCTTACATTTAGCAACTGTGATGGTAATCCACATAGTTATTTTACATTTCTATTTAATCACAATGATGTGGGTTATACTAGACCATCCAGTAGTTACAATTCTCTGATGTTTTCATGGTACACTCTAGCTTCACAAGTAAGCTACGACGAAACTTTGCCGGATGAATTCTTCACGTCATTCCTAGAGATACACCATGGCGGATGTGGTGGATATAGTACAGCTAGCGGTGTACCGGACGTCACTGGTGCCGCTGTGGGAGTGAAATTCTGTATGTATTGTCATGTTATATTAATAAATGTAAGATAACAATATAAGATACTTGGAATTTACCAAATAAATCAAATATGTGTTAATAGATTTAATCCTTTAATCCTTTGTAACGTGATCATTTATAACGTGATCATAAAATATAGACGATCAAAGAATCTCAATACTAGTATATCAATATATCTTTATACAGTCCATGTTAATATTTTATTTTAGAAACAACTCTATTGGTGAAATTGATATCTGACAACATCAACAAATAGATACTTTTTAGACACAAAATACAACTTTGCCATAGATTCATGCATTTACTCTTACAACATAGTCTAACACTTCTTCAGAACTGGTTAAAGAACAGAATGAGACAAATTTCTTAAGTTAACAACATTCAGTTTATCTGCCAATTCTTTTTCGAAGCACTTATATTCTTACCTTTTTATGGTTTCTTCATAAAAAGATCTATACTAATATTTCGATTTTAGAATAAAGAACATTCTTAAGTGGTGACGAAGTAACTGAAAAGAAAAAAGATACCTTTTTAATATCGCATACATTTGCATGGGGGTTAAAAGTTTATGACATTAGATTTGTTTATCCATTTTCATTTTAGTTATGAAATATTTGGGCTGTTAATGATATAAAGGTTCTGCCCGTGTTGTCAATATTACTCGTGTAGCTTTGTAATACTTCTACATTTTTTAACGTCAGTAAATTGATTTAATTGTATAGAACAAAGACGGCCTTAAATAATTTCTGACTTTGATATTTCAGTAATTACTTGTGAAATTCCTGCGGACATAAGTAATGGAAATAAATCTTACGTCAATACAAACATTGGAAGTAATGTTGTGTATACTTGTCACGTGGGCTACTTTTTAGTGGCGGGAAACTTGACTCGCACGTGCACAATAAATGGAAGATGGTCTGGTAAATCTCCTTCATGCAAAGGTAAATTGAACAAGACAATGGTTTATATCTATTGATTATCCTAGTAAACAAACAAGTTAATTTTAGCTTATGACCATTATAGTAAAGTTAATATGCATTTATATCTTACAAATATTAAAGTACATTATACAAGAAAGGTACATAATTCTGTGAAGCTATAAAGCAGACAAATTGATGCATTATTATTATTATTATTATTATTATTTATTATTATTATTGTTATTATTATTATTGCATAGAAGTATATTTTCGATTAAAATATGATTTTATTTCTTGTGGCAATATTATAATTTAAGTATTTGAACACACAATCCTGAATTACTTTTGTTATCATTTTTTTTTCTTGAATGTAAAGATATAAATAATTAAAATTACGTTATAAATTATGATATACTATATACAAAATGTAAATTTTTATTCAGAACTTGAGAATATGGCTCTTGGTAAACCAGCATATCAAATAGATACATATTGTTGTGAAGGGAACGGTGCCGAGTTGGCAGTTGATGGGGGCTTGTCTCAGTACTGGGGTGACGGTTCCTGTTCACTGACACAATCTGCAGCAGATGTATATTGGGAAGTTGACCTGGGAAATATTTACATTATTAACCACGTGACAATTCTATCTAGACTCGACCAGTGTTGTGGTAGTCTTCAAACTTTTATAAAATTTATCTTGTAAAAACAATTAACGAAATACAATATAAACAACAAAATATAAACAACAGAAACAACATCAACGTTAATATTGTTATGACGGTTTACTGACTCAAATGCTGCCGATTTAAGATGTTTTCATTTGCATATTTCCAACTGAAATAATCTAATTACAATTAATTCAATAAATTGAATGCTGTCAGTTGAAAACTAAAAATAAAGTTAAACACTGAAGTTTGAGTAAATATAAACCATTACAGGCATTTTACTAGTATATTAGCGAAAATATTCAGGAACAGACAACAGTTCACAAAAAGAGTCGCTTCTATTTGTCTTGTCTTAAATATTTATATTGTTAGAGACAGTAGTAAGGGTTACTTACATTTAATGATGAATCTATTGTGGTACTTAATTATAATTGTAGTAGGAAAATAAAAGATTAGATGTCTTGTTGCAAAAATGTCATATATAAATTTGCGTCATACATGACCTTACAAAACAAACGTTTTCATTTTTTAGATCGAAATTTAAGACTTGTACAATTGTACATGGGTACATCAAAGGCATTCTACAAGCTTGTGAGTTACTATTCTGGTGATATAAATGGCACATATACATTCTATATGGATCATACAACACATGCTCGTTGGATAAAGATAACTCGTGAATCAAGTGTACAAGAACAGTTATCTTTGTGTGAAGTTCAAGTGATGGGATACAGGCATGATCAATGTATGTCGATGATATCTCTTTAAAATTTGTCTTAGCGGTCAAGTTATGCTATTCCTAGCTCAGTGATCAAATGATCAGTATGTTTTGTATATTCAATAAAAAGTTAATTGTAGAAACTATTATTTATACTTGAACTCTTCGTTTGAATATAAAAATAAAACAATAACATATGAGCGCAGTAAGTGTTAAAAGATGTTACAGGGCTTGTTTATAAACTCATTGTATGACATATTTTTTGTTTAAGTAAAGAATGAAAGAGAAAGTTTTTCGGCGCTAAAATGAAGAAAAAGTATTAGAGAATTTCACATAAAATTAAGATTTATTATTTATATTTTTCCCAGTGATGTACAAGCAGAGAACAGATATGATTGGAACAGGAAATGTGCTTATCGTGACATCATCAATGTCCCATATGGATTGTTGTCGGAAATGTTTCCGTTATCCTGGGTGTCTTGGTGTAAACCTTCATCTAGATACGTTACTGTGTTATCTTCTCGACTCCTGGTTATCAGCTTCTAGCGAAGATTCAAACATTGTGTTCTTTACGGCAAACTATATCATTGAATGAATAACTGCCAGTCAAGTAGTTTAATATGTGTATCTACTTGCAAGTTGATTATGAGAAGTGCAGTGATTTCATTTATAGTAGATATTTGAAAATTAGTATTGCATTTAACTTACACAAGATATCTCGGATTCTTTCACGATTTTATTTTTTACATAATAGATTTAACTTTACCTAGAATTAGAATTTTTCAATGATTAAATAATATCCTTATGATAAATGAATCATATATTGTTGGCAATGAAAAAGATCACAAAATTTATTTTAGTTTCATAACTATACCAATTCGTAGTTTATCTTTCTATTTTTATGCTAAACTGCTTTCATAAATCTTTACAAACACTTACCAAACTCATGTTATATAACTTTTAAAATGTAAGAAAATAACTGTGTGTAGTATACAAACAACATGCAACCGTTTTGTTTGATACCTTTGTAAACTTAAAAACATCACCTTTATTTTTAAGTTTTCAATAATTTCCATATGTGTGACATCATAATCCCTAACACTAATGCCATTTCTGTAAAGTTTTAACACAACCTTATCGATAAGATGTTTTGTAATCTTGGATACCAACATTTTTGTGCTCATATTCTTACAGAGGATAAATATAATTCCAGTATATAAAATTGAAGGCCTATTAAACCTAAAATCCTGCTATATGTAATGTTATTATTCAAACGTTTTCTATTTTGGTTAAGGCTATAAATACGGTTGATATAAAGTGATTCATTGTTTTGTATTGGAGTTAAAATATCTTTTGTTTAAACGTTTCTCCTTTTATAGCAAAATCAGTTGTACTTTATTGTGTTCCGTCAATCATCTGTCATTGATTTTGTTTTGACATCAGCTGTCCTTTATTGTATTCCGTCATCAGCTTTCCTTTATTATATTCCGTCATCAGCTTTCCTTTTTTGTATTTCGTCATCAGCTTTCCTTTATTATATTCCGTCATCAGCTTTCCTTTTTTGTATTTCGTCATCAGCTTTCCTTTATTGTATTCCGTCATTAGCTGTCCTTTATTGTATTCCGTCATCAGCTTTCCTTTATTGTATTCCGTCATCAGCTTTCCTTAATTCTATTCCGTCATCAGCTTTCCTTTATTGTATTCCGTCATTAGCTGTCCTTTATTATATTCCGTCATCAGCTTTCCTTTATTGTATTTCGTCATCAGCATTCCTTTATTCTATTCCGTCATCAGCTTTCCTTTTTTGTATTTCGTCATCAGCTTTCCTTTATTATATTCCGTCATTAGCTTTCCTTTTTTGTATTTCGTCATCAGCTTTCCTTTATTGTATTCCGTCATTACCTGTCCTTTATTGTATTCCGTCATTAGCTTTCCTTTATTCTATTCCGTCATTAGCTTTCCTTAATTGTATTCCATAAAACTGTCCTTTATTGTATTCCGTCATTAGCTGTCCTATATTGTATTCCGTCAATCAGCTGTCCTTTATTGTATTCCGTTATCAGCTTTCCTTTATTGTATTCCGTTATTAGCTTCCTTTATTGTATTCCGTCATTAGCTGTCCTTTATTGTATTCCGCCATCAGCTGTCCTTAATTGTATTCCGTCATTAGCTGTCCTTTATTGTATTCCGTCAATAAGCTGTCCTTTATTGTATTCCGTCATCAGCTGTCCTTTATTGTATTCCGTCAATCAGCTGTCCTTTATTGTATTCCGTCATCAGCTGTCCTTTATTGTATTCCGTCAATCAGCTGTCCTTTATTGTATTCCGTCATCAGCTTTCCTTTATTATATTCCGTCATCAGCTTTTCTTTTTTTGTATTTCGTCATCAGCTTTCCTTTATTATATTCCGTCATCAGCTTTCCTTTTTTGTATTTCGTCATCAGCTTTCCTTTATTGTATTCCGTCATTAGCTGTCCTTTATTCTATTCCGTCATCAGCTTTCCTTTATTGTATTCCGTCATCAGCTTTCCTTTATTCTATTCCGTCATCAGCTTGCCTTTATTGTATTCCGTCATTAGCTGTCCTTTATTATATTCCGTCATCAGCTTTCCTTTATTGTATTCCGTCATCAGCTTTCCTTTATTCTATTCCGTCATCAGCTTTCCTTTATTGTATTCCGTCATTAGCTGTCCTTTATTATATTCCGTCATCAGCTTTCCTTTATTGTATTTCGTCATCAGCTTTCCTTTATTGTATTCCGTCATCAGCTTTCCTTTATTATATTCCGTCATCAGCTTTCCTTTTTTGTATTTCTTCATCAGCTGCTTTCCTTTATTGTATTCCGTCATTAGCTGTCCTTTATTGTATTCCGTCATCAGCTGTCCTTAATTGTATTCCGTCATTAGCTGTCCTTTATTGTATTCCGTCATTAGCTTTCCTTTATTGTATTCCGTCATTAGCTTCCTTTATTGTATTCCGTCATCAGCTTGCCTTTATTGCATTTCGTCATCAGCTTTCCTATATTGTTTTCCATCAATCAGCTGTCCTTTATTGCATTCCGTCAATCAGCTGTCCTTGAATGTATTCCACCAATCAGCTGTCCATTATTGTATTCCGCCACTTAGCCGTCCTTAATTGTGTTCCGGCAATCAGCCGTCCTTTATCGTATTCCGTCATTAGCTGTACTCTATCGAATTCCGTCAATCAACTTTTATTTAATGGAATCCGTCAATCAGTTGAACTTTATTGTATTCCGGTCCACTATAACGACACGACAATCAGAAGTCTTGTATTGTGTATTGTTTGTCACTGGGTCGCTATTGTAAACCGATTATCAATAATTCACTATTTATATATTGTTTATATCATTAATTAACGGTTTTCTTTTGTATACCATTTATCTATGGTATTCTTTTGTGTACAGTGAATCAGGGATCCACTGTTATATACCGTCAATTGGTGGTCTTTTGCTTGATGTATCCCAGATCTAGAGTTACTATAGACACTGTTGTTTTATTTATCAAATCTCATTTAGTTTTATTTCAACTGAAAATTAGGTATAATGAATTAAATAAGTAGAAAATCATAGAGAACAGTAATATTCTTCTTATCAGCTGAAGAACGTCCATTAAGAGAAGTACAAATGATTTTTCATATTTCTTGTTCAGGTAAGTATACAGAATAATCAATCATCTGATTAGATAGAGAATTGGAATCTTGTAACGACAACCAGTCATCCTCATAATTGAGATTTACTACTAATCCTTAATGGGACACAATAAAAGATTGTATTGATTTTGAATGGTAATGATCTTGTTACAGACACAACTTAACAGTATATTGATAATCAAAGCATCAGTAATATGATAGATGAAGGAGTATTGACAAGTGCAAAGCAAGCAAAAACAAAATTCTATAATGTAGCCGTAAAACAGTATGTTAAGACTTAAAAGTAAATGTTATAAAAAGGAAACATTAAAATCAAGAAGTAAAAAGACAAAATCTCAAAACAGTTCGTTTAAATAATAATAAAAAAACAAAGAGATGTAAATATAGTCCAAATAATGATATAACGTATTGACATACACATTCAGAGTAGGTTAAATTCAGAAGGCCGTTAAACAATATAGATATCCCATTATATAATCATTTATACATGTTATAAGATTCTTACAAATAAAAAAATGCATACTTTTCATGGTGTGTGGTGTACCCAAATCTAAACTCATATCGTATTAACAAGTGTTACAAATAACAGAGATTTGTCTGTTATAATAAAACTGCAAATATAATGATGTATATAAATCTTCTTCACAAAACTTTTAAGTTCGAAATTCAAGATTCAAGACTGAACACACAACAAATTTCAAAATATATTTGGCTTTATTGCTCGCTCATTCGTCATTTAATTTAATGAACATTATGGCAACCAGAATGAGATTGGACACCATGCCAATATGATAATGTGGACGAGTGATGACAACCATTTGGTCCTCCATTATGCTCACGGGCAAACCCCTCACATGTCATCGGACAGTTGTAATGAGAAGCGTATCTCTTCATGTAGTTTTGTACACATTGTGAAGCACAGTGTAGATCATCAGCACAACTTTTCCAACCTAAAAGTAAGTGATAAACTTCAAGTAAGTGTTAGTAATAGAATTACAATATACGAAACATTGTCATCACATTGTATAAACAAAACATTATTTGATATACAATACTTTATTATATTAATGAAAATAGATGTAATCTGGTTCTTTGCGAGTGTCGAATTTTCCCATCTAATCTTGGAGAAGACATCACACGTTAACCAATCTAGTTTCACGATTCAGTACCGTTGACAAAATAGTAACGAGTGTTACGCCTATATTCTATACATTATTTCTATCTATTTGTAATGGTAAAAGTTTGTTTATAACCAGAGATTACATGGGAAAAAACTTTTTGCAAAGTTCCGGAGAACCTCTGTTCTTATGATGATACAAAGTTACAAATATTTCAATTTTACTATAAAAGAAATGAAATTATAGACTTTACTTCCTCCTGGCGATCCACAATCTTGCCAATAACCCTGTTTTATCTGGAAGTAGCCACACGAGTCAGAGTTTACGTCGAAATGACAACCAATTGGCTTACATCCGGACTCTTGCTATAATTTAAAATACTATCTTTAATGTATTTCAGAATTGCTTAGAAAATACAAGTAAACAGGGAATAACTAAAAAGCAGTTGCTTTAAATATAGGTTAAACACTTAAACAAGAAGCAATTCGTTATATATGTCTTAACAACAAAGTCCAATGATTGTTTTTTAACATTGGATTCAACAACATGTACACTATTAAGAAGGGCTGTTTATTGCAAATTATTGTGTATTTACAAAACTTATGATATCTTAAAACATCTGAACAAAGTGATATCTCGGAAGCATTAATCACAACAAAATTAGAAGAGAATTGCAGAATCGGTTTGATTGAGTTTGTACATGAGGGATACTGAATAAGTGCAACATCCCTCACGCCCCCTAGCACCTAATCCATACACATTGAAATAATGTAAGACACTTACCTGACAGATACATTGTAGGCAAGCATGTGACACGATCCCTGATGCAAAGTTTCCTTGATGTGTACTGACGTGTGTGCAATGTGAAGCAGCCGATACTGAGACAAAGTTAGAGGCAATCCATACTCTCTATAAATAAATGTCACTAAATAATGACAAATGATAAATAATAAAATGTCACTGAATAATGACAAATGATAGATTATTAACATGTAACATCTGCTCCAACCAAGCTGACATATACAGTCATTTCACCAAATTTTCAACATGAAATGACCAAATGACCATTGCAGACTTGTTACAAAAATATTATATAGACTAAGGTGTTTCCCGGGGCATTCAATCCTTTGATAATGTTTAGTGAAGAGAATTTGATATATTGTGTTGTATACTAGAATGCTATTACACATGTGTAACCTAGAGGATATTGAATGAGTGTAGGTTTAATACTAAATATATTGAAGGAGTTGAATAAAATCATACTATGCGAGCCTCTGGCGAGCACAATATTGTTTTATTCAACGAGTTCAATAAATTTAGTATTGAATCTACACGAATATAATATTCTATTTATCACATCTATAAAATAAGAACGGTAAACTGTTAACAAGAGTTATTTTTCTTTGACGTGCCTATAGTGTAACGCTAACATTAGCGCGTTTTAACGCTATGTTTATAGTGCAAATGACGTGACGTCAAAGTGTTATTACACTAGTGTAATATCGTCTAGTGTAATATCGTTTTTATTAAATGGCTTTATTACACTCCTGGGCCGCGGTTTATGTGATAAAAGATATTATTGCATCTTATTCAATAAGTTAACCTTATTTCATATCAAAATGAAAATGAATATATCTAAATCATTCGTACCATGTGAATACGTGACTAATTTAACAATTTACAATCAAATATCCCGGCTTTCACAGATCACATCAATTTTAAAGTTTTTACTCATTCTGATATTATTTTTTAAATTTATTTATTTTATGTTTAAACTTGTAGTACATTTCATGTTTTCGTTTTCTTATTCAGTTGTCAATAATGATATTGGAATGAATAACATATTAAACTTACATGATGTCCATTCACATCTTGTACTTCATACCATTTGTACCCATCTTTAGTTAAAATACCGCCATTAAACTTAAAACATTGGCCGTGAGAAACTGATGTGACCACGTGACTGCTTAAACCAGCTGAAATAGTGTTTGTAATTTTTATTTTCTTTTCACTGTCTGTACACATTTTATAGAAACGATAAAAGTTATATCATGCAAAAATGCAAAATAAGCATTAAAAAATTTTCTTTTCAATTTAAAAAACTAATTAATGAAATATTGTTAACAATATTAACCTGCATCACGGACGTTGACGCTATTTGCGGTTACACAATATTTACCTGTAACACGGACGTTGACGCTATTTGCGGTATTTACCTGCATCACGGACGTTGACGCTATTGACGGTTACACAATATTCACCTGCATCACGGACGTTGACGCTATTTGCGGTTACACAATATTTACCTGCATCACGGACGTTGACGCTTTTTTCGGTTACACAATATTAACCTGCATCACGGACGTTGACGCTATTTGCGGTTACACAATATTTACCTGCAAAACGTACGTTTACGCTATTTGCGGTATTTACCTGCATTACGGACGTTAAGGCTATCTGCGGTTACACTATTAACATTATTTACCTGCAACACGGACATTCACGCTATTTGCTGTATTTACCTGCATCATGGACGTTAACGCTAACTGCGGTTACACTATTAACATTATTTACCTGCATCAGGACGTTGACGCTATTTGCGGTTACACAATATTTACCTGCAACACGGACATTGACGCTATTTGCGGTATTTAACTGCATAACGGACGTTGACGCTCTTTGCGGTTACACAATATTTACCTGCATCACGGACGTTTACGCTATTTGCAGTATTTACCTGCATCACGGACGTTAACGCTTTCTGCGGTTACACAATATTTACCTACATCACGGACGTTGACGCTATTTGCGGTAACACAATATTTACCTGCAACACGGACATTGACGCTATTTGCGGTATTTACCTGCATCACGGACGTTAACGCTATCTGCGGTTACACTATTAACATTATTTACCTGCATCACGGACGTTGACGCTATTTGCGTTTACACAATATTTACCTGCAACACGGACATTGACGCTATTTGCGGTATTTCCCTGCATCACGGACGTTGACGCTATTTGCGGTTACACAATATACCTGCATCACGGACGTTGACGCAATTTGCGGTATTTACCTGCACCACGGACGTTGACGCTATTTGTGGTTACACAATATTTACCTGCATCACGGACGTTAACGCTATCTGCGGTTACACTATTAACATTATTTACCTGCATCACGGACGTTGACGCTATTTGCGGTTACACAGAGACAGCTCCCAGTTGTTGGATTAGCGGCAGACGAAAACCCGATTGCGGCTAGTAAAACTGCAAACTTGATCAACATGTTGAAGTAATTGCCACTTCAATGTTTTTACTAATGACGATATTTGTAAATTTTTAAATGTTTAAAAGAACTAAAATAGGTGAAAGTCGTGATAAAGATAAGACACATCGTGAGACAATTTTGTTAATGAATGTATGACACATAGATACCTGATGTCAAAATATAGGTGGGAATAGACCATGTATGTCTTAAAATATCATCCTGTTGCATAAGATAGCTTCTTAATATAACTTGTATAAGATTAGTATACGAGTATTTAAACAGCAAATATTCTATATATTTCATGTGAACATGCTCGTGTATGAATCTAATAATCAAACAAAATATAACGTTCAACATAAAACGTTTGTCTGATTCAGATATAAATTACACTAATCGTAATAAGTAGATTAGAAATAAATGAGAGAAGAAAAAAGATTTTAAAAAAAATGACAACAGATTGAAGAATATATGAGTCGTGCATTGTGTGTCCGGGTGTCCGCGGGTATAGGTGTGTCCGTCGGGAATACTCTGGTATTTTGCCGACGGTGAGCCCAAAATCGTTCTAGACAGCTCGTATCTGGCCAATTCCGGCTGGCCCCTGTGGGGACCAGACTCAATTACGCAGAACCGCACATGGCGGGATGGTTAGGGGTCTGACCGGGTGTCCGCGGGTATAGGTGTGTCCGTCGGGAATACTCTGGTATTTTGCCGACGGTGAGCCTAAAATCGTTCTAGACAGCTCATATCTGGCCAATTCTGGCTGGCCCCTGTGGGGACCAGACTCAATTACGCAGAACAGCACATGGCGGGATGGTTAGGGGGTATGACCGGGTGATCGCGGGTATAGGTGTGTCCGTCGGGAATACTCTGGTATTTTGCCGACGGTGAGCCCAAAATCGTTCTAGACAGCTCGTATCTGGCCAATTCCGGATGGCCCCTGTGGGGACCAGACTCAATTACACAGAACCGCACATGGCGGGATGGTTAGGGGGTCTGACCGGGTGTCCGCCGTTATAGGTGTGTCCGTCGGGAATACTCTGGTATTTTGCCAACGTTGAGCCCAAAATCGTTCTAGACAGCTCTTATCTGGCCAATTTCGGCTGGCCCCTGTAGGGACCAGACTCAATTACGCAGAACCGCACATGGCGGGATGGTTAGGGGGTCTGACCGGGTGTCCGCGGGTATAGGTGTGTCCGTCGGAAATACTCTGGTATTTTGCCGACGGTGAGCCCAAAATCGTTCTAGACAGCTCGTATCTGGCCAATTCCGGCTGGCCCATGTGGGGACCAGACTCAATTACGCAGAACCGCACATGGCGGGTTGGTTAGGGGGCCTGACCGGGTGTCCGTGGGTATAGGTGTGTCCGTCGGGAATTTTGCCGACGTTGAGCCGAAAATCGGTCTTTACAGCTCATATTTGGCCAATTCCAGCTGGCCCCTTTGGGGAGCAGACTCAATTACGCAGAATCGCATATAGTGGGATGGTGAGGGGGTCTGACCGAGTATTCCCGACGGACACACCTATACCCGCGGACACCCGATCAGAACCCCTTACCATCCCGCCTTGTGCGGTTCTGCGTAATTGAGTCTGCTCCCCAAAGGGGCCAGCTGGAATTTGCACAGGGTTTTCCGTATCATCTCTGGCCAGCCTGTATAGCCGGACCCGGATTCCGGCTAGCCGGAGTAGCCAGAACAGCCGGAGTAGACGAAAATGAGTTCCGCCTGCTCCGGCTGTTCCGGCTGTCCGGCTAACTTCACGAACATCTTGTTTTAAGATTATTACAACGGTTTCCCAAGATTCACCATTTCAAAAAATACTAAACACCACTCAAGCGTGAGAAAGAAAATCAGTTGAGTTGTTGTTTCGTTTCTTAAACACAATTAATATTACATTAAAGAATCACCCAAATTCTTTGGGTCAGATATGTGTACCAAGGTTTCGTCACAAGTATGTTGGAAATAACAGGATTTTCTAAGCCTATGTATTTTAGTTTTAGACACATAATTATAAACGTTGCTTCTTTTCTTCGTACTGTAAATAGCGAGTCCGCAAACATTCCAAACGTTCTTCCGGGTTTTCCGAATATGTGCCTTCTGCTAACCTGTACAGCTGACAAAAAGGGGCATCCTTGTCGACCAACTGTTACAAGAGCGATGTTTGACTCGGGAATTATTAAATGAGTACTTTCTTTGACGCATTCTTCCCAGTATTTTAAGGTTTATGACTTCAAGCATTTCAATTGGAATACATTGTCATTTTTATAATTGCTTGCAATGCCTTATATTTGTTTCACATTTTTTCACGCTATGTTTACATGCACTTTACATGCCAATATGTCATTTTCTGTTTCCATCCAAGATGTCACAATTTAGTCTTTACTGTTTTTTCTCGGTGTATAATTTCAAAGCCTCAATACAGTTCTTCCTTTATTCCATAAGAACAATAGTAACAGCATTGAATATAAATATAAAGTATCCAAGCTCTGAACAGACAAGTACAAAAACAAATGACATGAGGTTCTGATTTATTACTATACACACACTTTTATATAGATAACATTCTACACGAACAAGTAACTAGTTTATAAATAATTCCTTTAATATCTCATTGACAAAATAAACAAGATTTATTTATAACAATTATTTTCATGTAATTCCATTTAAGAAATTGACAACATGCTTAAAATATACATGTATGAAGAAATATGTACATGTACTAAATGACTTATCATATTCTGACAAGGCCATACAATATAATTCTTAAGCTTTTATTATTAACCAATTAACCTCATTTTTATAACAGTTAAAATAATTGAAATTTCGTTCTTTCTTAAGTTTGTAAAATGAACTGACAATGATGTATGAAGGAACATATCTGTTTAAATGTTTATGTCACTATGTACCCCTAAAACACAGTTGCTTAACAAGTATTTGATGAATACTCGCATCTTTTCAAGTCGTCTGACCAGTAGAGGTTAGCTTGACATGGGCGACCATCATACATCACGTTATCGTAACATGACACATACATGTGACATCCTCGACAAGACTGATAATTTCCGTTCTGTACACCTTGACAACTTCTGACACATTCTCCTAATGTAAAAACAATATCTTTTATAACACACAAAATGTAATAAGGTACACAAAATGTAAAAAGACATCTTTTAACACACAGAATGTAAAAATATATCTCGTTTACACACACAATGTAAAAAGATATCTCGTTTACACACACAATGTAAAAAGATATCTCGTTTACACACACAATGTAAAAAGATATATCTTTTAACACACAAAATATACAAATATACATAGATATGAACCTAACACCGCTAAGTAAATGAAACGATAGAAAGCACAGATTTATATTTGACAAAATAAAATAACCTAATTTTGTGTGTGTAAAATTCAACATACATTTCCTCATGATTTACCATACTACACTGAAGTTACTGCTTGTCTTTACATTGATTATTCTATGTAACAAACCGTTACAAACAATACTTAATTTAGCTTTGAACCTATTAGTATTTTGATGAAAGTTTTTAAAATATCTTGATAAGCCTTATAATGTTTGTCTTCTTAACAAATAGAAGAAATTCGTACCGACTGCCGGCTGACTTCCAACATTGTTTTCCGGTTGAGGAATTGGCATACCGTGATTTAAATCTGAAAGAAATACAAAATCAACACCGTTGTAAAAATTATATGTGTGATAACTAAATTAAGACTTGGTTCCTCGCTTAAAATAAATAAGACTTGCTGTTGTATGAGTTATGACACCAATGGAACAAGGTAGACGAAATCAAGACTAAACAGCGCCATGTTACTTACATGTTTATGAAAGCTCTTGTTTATCAGTTTTTGAAATGATGATTTCTTTATAAATCGTCATTATTTAACGCCACTAGAATACCTGTGTTAAGACAAAGATTATTTTTGTTTCAAAGGTTTTTTTTTTCTATTTCTTATTACACACACTCACTGGAATTACACATGTATGCAGCGATTCAAAATAAAATAACATAACAAGTTTAATTGAACGTTTAACTTTGCATATTAGATTTTCATATTGCTGTAGCAATACTTTGTCAAAACGATCAATGACATAAAACATATGTGCATTTTTATATCATAAATTATTATAGAAGAGAAGTGTTGTAATTTATATCAGATTAATTGTGTAACTTACACAAATTAGAACACGTTTCGCAGCACGTTAGTTTATAATTGTGACATCTGTAATAGGCGTCAAAAAATGATCCTTCCAAAATACTTGAACATGTCGTGTGCGAACCATGATATGTTTCAGGACCATCTCCGAAGAGGCAAATTTCTGTCAAATAAAGATATTATCGTGTTGTGCATAAATGATTACGTTTTAATTTATTAACTATATGTGATTTAAAATTGTATATAAACAAGCGTTGGCTTTCTCACTAACCAGATAGAAAAATCCTTAAATGTTACTAAAAATAGCGGTGTTGGAAAATCTTATCTCACATGGGCTTATCTCACACTCAACGTGCAGCAGTTCTAAATGATACGCGATTCACTCCTATTTCAACAAAAATTAAACGTCAAAAGGTCAAAATGTATTAAAAATTTGTAAGCTAATCTATTAAATTGTCTACGGAATCAAAATAGATTGATATTAACTTTCACACTGCAATGAGTCCTACTCTACCTAGATCCGCCCTTTCCAATAACGATCTGTTACTAAAAATAGCACACTTTAAAATATCGAAACGTTCTTCGTAAAATCGGATATTATGACACTTTGCCTGAAAAACATTCATGTTTTTTGTTATGATAACGATGCTTTTTGATGACGAATCTCATTTTGATAGATTTTAATTGAATATTCGGCCAAAATAACCGAAAAAGTAGAAAAATCTTTGCAAACGGTAAACGCTTTTTTGTCAACCATTGAAGTATGGACTGAAATCCTTATAAACACTTATATTATGGCACTTTCCGTTTTTAATATCGATGTGTTTCATCATGATAACCTTGCTTTTTCATGAGGGGTCTCATATGAATTTATTTTCATTAAATTTTTCACACATAAACTTGGTCAGAAGATTTTTTTGCGGACGTACATATTGCTTTTAAATCATAGAAAGTCAGGCGCCTAAGCCCCGCCCCCTTTTCAAAACTAGGTACGTTGTAATGGGCGTAGCAAGTAGATTCACTGATATTTGTGTGTTCAGGTGAGTGAGAAAAATAATCAACCATTGGGTTAGATAGAGGATAGGGAAATCCCAACCCTCGGGCAATCGGTTCCATCGGGAACTCGCCAAGGCTCGTTCCCGATGGAACCGATCACCCTCGGGTTGGGATTTCCCTATCCTCTATCTAACCCAATGATAGATTCTATTAATCTATCTTTTTCTATTCAACCAAAGAACTATTTAAAAAACGTGTTTGCTTTATGTCCTTCACTCATTTCACTCATTTTTAAGTATAATTATTCGTTATGTAATAGTTTATGCATAAGTAGTAAATATTGAACACACCTTTCAGGCCAGTCTTTGATCCTTCTTCTTCAACACAATATCCGCTCCGACAGATCTGTATCAGAAATATTACATAATTTATAAACTATATCTTAATTTAAATAGAAGGACAAACTGTAAATATTTTATCATGTTCCTTCAAATTTACCATACAGGTGCTAAGGTTCGTTATATTTTTGTACGTAAATTATAAAACTGTCATACAATTAATCAGTTGACAGCAATCTTTCTCAACGCATAAATCTTGGTTTCTGTATCAGTTATTTATGCTGGATTATGAAGACTGAAAATTATTTCATCCACTCCTAGGTTTGCTTCGAGCTGTTATATAACGAAATATGATAATGTACATGGTATGGCTCTAACTTTATCTGGTTTAACGGACAAACAACTTAACCATTTGTTTTCCATAAAGATCAAACCTTGTATACTTTCTTTCACAAGATAATCTTTAATATAGATGCATACAAATTCATAATCTTTGTGTTTTCTGTACATGTTACTGTAACGTACTTTTTCATTTCCACAAGTTGTTCCTTCCATGGTGTCGGTTATATAATGATAGCCTGTCTTCACCGGGTCAGTACATCTCAATGTCGAACAAATGTTTGTATAGTTTTCTTGATATCCATACTGTATCAATAATTAGAAATATCTGATATGCATGCAAATATATCTAATAACAACGATACGTCATTTTATACTAATAAATGAACTATACATAGTTTAATTTGAAACGGGCATTATCCACATTCTTCAGTATCATTAATTTAATGTATATATTGATACGTCTTGCAATTTTATGCACAAAACCCTTTTTGTGTTCCCTTAAATCGTAATGTATAATAGGACTTGACATAAAAATGATATATCTGAAAAATGTTGGATGACTTTATTGTATTATTTTTGAAGAATAATGCAAAACACATACACGATATAAATATGAGCCCTTTCCATATCTATATTCGCATTGCTGATCTGGACTGTAGATTTGTCCTGGCAGTTTGTTGGTATATTGTGATAGTAGGTTAACATTGTTCTCTCTTGAAGACATACAATTTAGTCTTAAAGAGAAAGAAACATGTATTTAATATAGATTCAGGTAAAGTAAAAACTAGTAAGTGTGTAAAGCTAAATTACCGAAAGGAAAGCTTATCTTTCATGCATTAAACTGTTTTGCGAAAGATAAAATTAAGTTGTAAACAAAAGATAGATATACAATTTAAGTAATTCGGAGTAAACAAGAGTAATAAAGTAATAAAGGAAATAATTGATTACAAATAAGATGATAATAAAAGATGTGGAATGGTCGTAATAAAGGCTTACAGACTGGTAAAAGTCTTATTAAATTTGTAGTGATAACACAAAATAAATGTGTAAATTACAAAAATATAGGAAATAAGTCGTAAGAAATTCAGAGTAAACAAAAAAAAGAGAGAATAGTTTGTAATAAAGTTCTAGTGAATAAAGAATACAAATAAACCGTTATAAAGTTGTAATAAATAAAACTTGAAATAGATTTTATAAAGATGTAGATTAAGATACATATAATTACATCGATAATCTTTTGTATAAACAGTCAACTGCTAAATACATTTCTCTTGTTAATAAACTCCTCACGTTCGCTTAAAAGGTGTACTTATATCTCTCATAAAGAAGACAAATATCCCACGAAAATATATTACATAAAAAATGAGGTTCCATAACAATTATAACATTAAATACCCTAATTTGTTGAGATTGTTGATATTCCTAAAGAAATAATACTGCGAGCAGGCAGAGAACTTCCAGTGATTCCGTAGTTGTGGTTTACTATGTGTGATAACTGGAGACATTATATATTCTTCCTCAGCAAGGCAAAATCCGAGCTTACCATCGTGATCGGCTCCAAGACTGAAAATCAAACATTTAGATTCATGCATTCTATTTCCACCATACAGAGCATCTTACACAAATAAAAATGTTATAATAATTGATTGGTGTTTAGCATACTAGTTCATTCTTTGTTAGCCGACCAGTCCGATAGAAAGAAGAGAAATTAGCTGGAACAGGGAATGCAAATCATGATAAATGTGCATGCATTGCTCTGTGTATATGAACTGGTTTGTTGTTGAAACAAACAGAAAAAATACACACAGTTCTTGTGTGTACGCCTCTCTGCAGTAACATTATATCATTATAAAATGATACAGCTAAGAAAAAATAGTCACAAAATATGTCGTTATTTATAAAGACCTTTCTTTGTTTGACAACTAAAACTATCTATCAATATAGATAGATAGATATCAATATACACTTTAAAACATAACATCAAGAGTATAAAAATGGTTTACTTGTGTCCAATTTCATGCGCCGCTGCCAGTGCAACGTCCTCGCCAAACGTGTCTTGAATTAAAGATTGCTTTTTAAGAAAGCAAATATCTCCTTGGTTAGCGACGCCTGAAAATAAAAGCAATTATATGCTCAGTCTTATGCATCTATCGTACATCAATAAATGTAACTACATAATGTGATAACATGTTTATGACAGGAATGACATCATATGTGTATGAAATATGAGAAAATATAAACAGTGAAGGGTGGCATTAAATGAACGCAAGGTTTCACAAAAAAGAAAGTGTTTAAAAAAAGTGTTATTAGGCGGTCGTAATTTATTTTAATCTCTTATAAAACTGTTATTTATTGTGTTTACCTGGGATAAATAAAATAATATGAAACTATTTGATACATAAATTATTTCACTATGTAAAGATGCAATCATATAAATTGATACATATATAAATTTATTTCACTCATTAAATAAAATTAAAAGTTGGCTTTATATAAAAAATCTATTTCATTAAGAAATTCGTTAGATTATTTAATGTCATATAAAATAATTCATTGTTTTTTTAAGTACATATAATTGATATATATTTTTTTCTGTAACATCAGATATTTGAACTTTTTTCATTAACATTATAACAATTTTTCAAAGATAATTTGATTAGAGTCTTGATGAATTGATAAGGGTTTTATAAGATTATGTGGTTAGAGATTAAATCACACTTACCTACAACATCTTTATCCAAAATGCCGTCTTTTGTCTGTGCTATATCATACCTATATATAACATTACCCAAATAATTAAATGTTTTTATAACACAATGATGCAAGAGATATTTGCACATCAAGTGTGGACTATATTTTATATTTTAGTAAATTACGCAGCTTTTAAGGGATTCGAAAGATAGCCTTAAAGTAAAGAAGGCTCTTGGTCTAAGTCGTTATTCGTACAGTTATCGAAATGACGAAACCACAGTCTAATAATTGTTAAAATTATTTAACTATTATATGACATCATGTGAAGGTAATGACGGTCATGCATTATTCAGAGCTTTATAATTATCACATTAATTTTACATCATTTCTTTTAGTTATAATTAAATGTTATTATTTTTTATTTTAGTCTAGTATTTTGAAGTTTGGGATATTTAAACTATTTAATGTTAACTAAGAATAACATACTTGGTGAAAAGCATCGCATGATCGTGACCAGGAAGGAACTCCTTGAAAGTTTCATACCAGTCCGTGAATTTAGATAAGACGGCGTCGCTATCTATATAATCTGGGTCTGTGTGTTGGTATTTGCTAAGTTCTGTCCAAGATGAGGAAATTCTGGTCTAGAAAAAAACAACAACAAAATAAAAAACAAACAAAAACAACAAAAAAAACGAACAAAAAATGAACTAAATCTAGCGCACAATATGAAATGAATGCATATATTTTAAGGATTACATATAATGTGGAGAAATACTTGGACAAATATATATTCTTCGACGTTTGAAAATTGTTTAAGAAGCATAACTTTATACATATATAAAATTTCACTTAAATGTGGTAACAACCTGAATTACAACATACAGGATCTTTAAAGATTTATCTAATGAGTTTGTTGACATTAACGACGCATCATGTGATACGTTATAATTCAAAGTATATAAACTTACATCGGCACAGTACACTGCAGTCAGCAATATCCTTATATTGTAGTTCCGTGTTGTAATACTTCGGTATCTTAGATCAACCTGTTTATATCAAACAATGTTTACATTTTGGTGATATGGTTGTTTTGCTTCAAATTGACGCGCTATACTTTACCATTATAAATCTCTTAAAGGTGATGTTTATAAAAAAAAAAAAAAAAAACAACATTAAGAGCATTTAGTTAAATTAGCGGTGTTCGGGTATCAAATCACGTTTCATATATTTTTTATATATCTAATGTAAATTTAGTAAATTGAATTTTTACGCATTTAAGTTGTGCGTAAAAGGTAAAAGGAATAGATATATTACGCCTATAATTGGATTTTTTCTAATAAATTGAATTTTGAATATAATTTGTATATAAAAGATTACAATAACTTACACCATTCAACACAAATGCCGTATATTGTATAAGTCTCTGTTTTGCAATACTATCACGGAATATAAAAGGCAGTTCTGGATAGGCCTTGGAAACTGAACTCAACCAACTGAAAAATTTTCATACCTATGTAAATATAGTACATACCTATGTAAAAATAGTACACACCTATGCAAATATAGTACATAACTTTGTAAATAAAACGCATAACTATAGATATATAACACAATATATATAGATATAACACATAACTTCTAGACTAAGTATATTAATGTAACACACAGCTATTTAAATATAACGCATAACTATATTAATATAACACATCTACTATATACACACATAACTAAATAGATATGAAACTCGTCTGAATTTATAACACACAAAAAAATTTAGTATCATAATTTGGATACCTTTCTATCAAAAAAGTGTCGGGGTAAAATCGTATACACGTAAATGCACAGTGAGTTAACTGGAGTGCATGTATTAGTAACCCGCATTCAAATAACCGCACGGTCTGTCGGGGATAAATGGAGCATGCTCGTTGTTTGACTTTTTAGAGTTAACTTATTCTGTCATATTCCGATGCTGATAGATTGGTTACTTTTTTCATGGGTTTCATATTGTGACAACAAATCAAATAGCATCGTATTTCGATGATATTTCTATTGTATATAAACTATAATTGGTACCACATTTTATACATTAAACTATTCACTCAACGTGTTGAAACGCAAATCTATATTTTCATTAATGAAACGACGCCGTTTAAGTTTAGACAAATTAATTTGTCCTCTGATTGCTTAAACGTACATTCATTCATTTTCCATACTATAAGTTGTTTTGTCTATATATTTTACTATGTTTTGTCGTTATTTTTCTGTATTAAAACTTTGTCGTCAACAAAATGAGAGAAGAGGAGTTTACTTTCATTCAGTTGCTCCTCAGCACTTTGGGTTTGAATCCCCAGGACTGTGGATTGTTTTATATGCGAAAGCTACCCAGATAAATTATCGAACAGCGATGGTTTTTATTAGGTGTCCGTTCAGGTCTGAAACTATACACGGAGGGGCACCTGAGGCTTCCTCCCTTACTTAAGATGGAAAATCACAGTATTGGTACAAAAATCTTTGAACAATAAAAAATCTAATTGGTCAAAACGAAATATCTGCGAACATATTCTCATGTCGCATTGTTGTTTAAGTAAATATTGTAAATGAAAAATAGTTATAAAATAACAAAAACAATGATTCAGATCATTAATTTGTTACGATAATATTTTTTACAACAATGAAAATAATATTTTTGAAATTACGTTTTCTTTTACTTACACATTTCATCGAACATGATAACAATCAGGCATTCTTATGCATTTATACAGTATGGAATTCAAATTAACATAACAAAATGATATGAATACTTACAACATGTACTCTGAATAATCAGCGACGGCCATTACTTCTATCTCATACAATGCCTTGTTTATTCTTTCTCCATCATTAACAAACGATTGAAATTCCGCTGAAACTAAAGAATTCCAATTAAACATTATAGAATTGACAATGATTTCTAAATACTGTATTTCATTTCGTTGTCGAGTTTTTATTTGCATCATACAAATAAACATATTAAATATTAAAAGCGTTTTTTATATATGAGACAACGGCGTAAAAATCAATTGTTATTAGATCTATATATTTTTAGGCAATGCACAAATAAGTTTGTTTGTAAATATACAAAAATTATCATTTGTCATTAGTCCATGAGTTATTTCAGATTCCATATCAACTTCCATATCAATTGCTTTTTGAAACGAGAATAAAACTAACTATTTTCTGTTGACTCTTCTTGTCTGTTTCCTGAAGCCAAGTGCCTATCTGTTTTTATAAAGTCTCTATCTAGTACTGTTTTCAAACTATTTCTTTCATTAAACATAATTTTCAGCTTAGACAAAGTGTATCCCTGACTTTCGTGATTGAAATGAAGACGAAATGTATCGTTATGTAACTTCACATCTCCCATCTGTCAATAATAAACAATACAATGTAAGGGTTTATTTATTTTATGATTTTGAGTTTAATCGCCATACTGTAAATATAATGATCTTTAAAGTTAGAACTTCAGAACATCAAAAACAGTAATTTTATAGCTTCATATACCATTCTTTTAACGAATAGAAACGCATATAAAAAGGTAATATATATTTGAGAAATATAAGTCAAACTAAAAATGAATCTTTAAAATTGCAACAAGCAATTGTTGTTAACATTATGGAAGCAAAATACTTTGGTTATAAAGATTACAAAAACATATATCACACATAATATAAAAAGCTGATACTTGCAATAATGAATTGTTTAATAGTTTCGTTTTTGACAGACACGGTGTATGTTATCTGTATGCGGTAAACCAAATTTGACGTTAATGTAAAAAAGTCTCACCAATTTCAGTGATGAATGTTCGCTGTTTTTATCTGTAGTGGTCATGATTGAAGCAAACGGATCCATGGAGTGGTAAAATCCAACAATCTGAAACATATAATCAACTAAAAACAAAACAAACCCCAACTATCTTCGGATCACGTTGTTGATATCTATATTACCTGTACTATGTATAGTTATTTATCCTCTGCCTTAATACAAAAAAACTGTATTAATCTGAATAGAATACAAGCCCTTAATATTTTATATATTGTGTACAAGTCTCTGCAAATCTTATTCAAAAAAGCTGTTTAAACAAAGCAACAATAAAATTTCTGTTTTGTTACAAGTATGCAGTGTTTATATATTTATTTATTTATTGTTATTATTTTTTATTTTATTGTTTTTTGTTTGTTTAGTTAAAATAACCGTTCGGTTTTGTTGTTTCACTTGTCCATAAACATAATTTACACATCAGCAAGTGAAGACATAATTATGGTGTAAATGGTCCAAACAGATAACATACAATCAACGATTTGTGTTCTAATTACATGTTCTTCTTAATTAAACAAAAAATATCTACAGCGAAAGTAATGTAATACATAAATGGATACCTCAGTATCATTTAAATCTTGATAAATGATTTTCCCATGCCTCTCAATAACCATCGGTACATTCGACTGTAAATTCGTATTCCTTTCCAGCACGATAGATTCATTGCTATGTTGTTTGTGAATGGTCATTCGAAACTTTTCTGGTAATAACACGTGACTTACACGTGGTTCACCGTTGGTCACAATGTCTGTCACTGTTACAATTACTGCATCTGAACAGATATATCAAATAAACTTGTTTAAAAAGAATCACAGCGTATGTATTATATATATAAAAATGTAGTTTACAAATTGAAATTTTATAAATATACAATTTGTTACTTGCCGCAATAATAGAATCCAAAATGATAATAAATACAAAAACTTTACCTGAATTTTCAAATAAGTTGGAATCAAGTCCAACGGCGCTAAGTACAAAAGTTGAAAAGACGTAAAGAAGTATCATTTCGGGATGTCTATTAGTTTAAAATGCCCAAAAAGAACTTGGTTAATGAGAAATATTTGTTCTTTATATACTACTTGCTTGTCACCTTAGCAAGCAAAGTCAAGATAAACAAATATTGATTTTGTCGTAAGATAGCAAAATTCCGTCTCGTAACATGTAAAGGCCCCTGTAACTGTATTTTTAAAGAAAGTAATTATTTCACTACATTTCAGAATGTTGATTGTATTTTTACTAAACAAATGTCTTTGTGTTGAGTATTTGGGTATTGGTATGACAAAACGTTGGAATTTCAAAACTCAGATTCCAGCCATGCTATATTCACCTGAATACTTATATTTTCAACTCAATTAGAATATATATCACACAGTTTATCTTTCTAACTCGACGCTTATTTCATTTTTATAATTTAATAATGAGGAGGTACATTGTAAGTGTGCTTCATAAGGTATTCCTTTTTTCAGCTCGAATTACTCTCTGCCTGGCGAGATAAAACAAATATGTGTATAAGTAACAATTAGGTTAGGGTAACACAAAATTAATATTCTCAGTTGTTTTAGGGACGCAATTTAGATTATAAGTTTCAAAAATAATTTAGTTAATTAATTTATTGCAATTATTCAGAAAAAACAACATTTTATTAAACCATTTACAACGGAGCTTATTATGTTTTTAAATCTATATTTAATATACCCGGCCGTACCTCACATTTGTAATGCATTTTTATGGTGTGACTACCGGATAGAAACATAACCTCCAGTTTTCAAACATTATCACGTAGTGAACATATTTTATAGGTAATAAATTTAACATTCATTTAGTGACAGAAGTATTACAAAACAAGGAAGAAGGAAAAATCTGACATTTTTGCGCTGTTGTATCATCTACACTTATGCACTATCAATTAACAATTCACCGCAATTAAAAAAGAATATAGTGTATACACAAGTCAGACTTAAAACGTTTAAAAACAGGAAAAGTAAAATATTCATATAAACAAGTAAGTTTCCTTTAGGTTAAGCCTATATTTGTTAATGACAATAGAATTGCTTTTTCTTTATGACACTAGATATCTCAATTAATTTACCGCTTATATCTCAATGTCATATTTCACAAAAGACACATTTCAAAATAGGAAATGCAAAAAATATTTATTAATAAAAGCGGCTGCATTATTTGTAAATGGCAAATATATTGATACTTGTCAATCATTAGTTCTAGAATACTCAGATATTTTTTTGAAAAAAAAAAAAAACAACAACCCCCCCCCCAAAAAAAAACCAACCTTTATTAGCTTTTGACATAATCTCGTGTTTCTTATTAGTCAATCGCTTACTTATTTCAGAAGCAATGTATGATTAAGTATCTTACATAATGTATCTAAGTCACCAGATAGACACATTATGATTAAAATGTATATGATGCATGTCAACTGTTTTGAGGAGCAAAGCTAAGTTTCAACATTATACACAATATTACATTAAACATGTATTTAAAACAGCGCTACACAGAAACTTTGCTGTATATCACACATACGTCCTTACTTCATATTTTGATGAAAGCTTTCAAAAGGAATATTTTAAAGGATATAATGAAAGATGCAACATCTAACACACACCATTAAGAGGTTGTAATCAATATTCGGTGCCAAAAGTATTCAAATCAGTGATTCTAAGAATCCAAGAAAAAAGAAAGAAAAAAAAACTGGACTATTAGTACACATTAACATGATTGTGAATGCTACAAATCAGTTATTCCAAAACTCAGAAGAAATAATTTTTACAGGTGGCATGCATTACAATTGTTATGAGTGTAAACTGGGGATCCCTCGAGGGCATTGTTAATAAATGTGAACTTTTGTAAATTACAGAATCGGTTTGAACGAGTCCGTTAATGAGAGAAAATAAAAAGGTGCATCATCGCTCATGCCCTTAGCAAAGACTTAAGAGGCGGTATTTAATCCATAACACCTAAAGTGATAGAATCAACGATCCCGGAGGACCAGAAAAATAAAAAAGAAAATACTAAAAACATGTAAGGGACAATTTTGTACAGCTTATTTTAAGTCTTGATTTCTGATAAGGAAAATTGAAACACGTTACCATTTATGACTAATCATTTTGATTGGTGGTTCAGAACGTGATACATTTTTTTTATTTGTAAGCCATTTTGAAAGTGTGTTTTGACGTGAATAGTTCGAATGACATTATTATAGTTCATGTTTTAGTTTCAAATATAGAGTGTCTGTGAAATATTTTGTGAATCAAAAGGATAATTTTAGATAACATGTTTAGCTTATTTAAAACAAAAATATCATTTAGGTATCAAAATTGTTTAATATGCAAATAATGATTTAAAAACTGATGTTTTATCTCCCTTTTCCTATAAACTACTGATGATGATGATGATGATGATGATAAGTTTTCTATTATTATTTGAGTGATGATCGAGATTATTTTTTATTTGCTTTTATTGACTAAAATCAATCGTGATAAGCATGGAAATAAAGTTGTGGTCATTATTTCAAACATGTTTCAATAGAATGAAATCCTGTTTGTAATCATTAATAGTTGCAACATAAAAATGTTGTAGAAATTTCGAAAGTTCGTATTTGAAAATGTCTCTTGTATACATATCATTTCGTTCAATTGCTAAAAATTAAGATCCAGATCCATCAAAGCTTTGTTTGATATGAAAGGTTTTAGACGTCATATCCTGGCGTTTATTTATGATCCGACCATTAACAGAATGATGATGTTGTTCTTTTTTAACAAAGTCGTTTTTGTTCCTAACCACAATCAGTTTAAGTGTTCAGATCAAAAATCAGCCGCCATTCAACTGCCTCAATGTCGTATAAGTCACTGTTGAAGTAAGATGTGACCGGTCAATAAAAATAACACACTAAGCCGTAACAATTATATAGTCCATTATCTTTTTATTACTTGTTTCATAAAAACAATTGTAGTTGTCAAGGGTTGTCAAAATATTCAAGATACCATTGTCAGAAATATAGGTAACAACAGGACAAGAAAATTGAAACACGTATATGAGATATAATTATAAAAATATTTGGCATTTTATAAAAATCATGGTTATATATTTAAATAAATACTCTTACATACAATGGATTCATGCATGAATTGTTCATAGAATTTTTAACGACTTTTCTGAAAAATTTTGAATCTCACTATCTTACTGATGACGTAGACAGTCAGTGCGCCAAGCCACTAAGAAAAGGTATGGAGACGTATATAAAATAGTATATACATATATATTTACATTGATACATGTAAAGGGTGGTTAAAAGTAAAAGCAATCTGGTAATATGTTAAGGAGAGACAATGTCTTGCTAAATTTGTCTAACATCCATATTTGAACTAGTTGAAGTGAGAGCAATGAAGTCTTTTTGGAAAAAATACTATTGATGATTAAAAATAAGATATGTCATTGAAACAATAACAGAAATTACCTATGTGCATGTTTAGTCGATGATAACATGTAAACAGGTAATCGTTTGACTAAAATATCATGTTTGACAAGATGTAGCAGCGTGTTGCAATGTTGTATCTATCAATGACATGAATATTGATTGTTGGTCACATGATGTCAATACAATCCAGTCTAAGTTTCCTCATACCACGTGTCGTTCAAGTTTTTTGTCACTTAAATGCGTATCTGATTATCATTGAATACATAACTTTAATATTAAGCCCATATTATAGTGTTTTCAACTGGTCCAACTTGCCACTTTGAATCGGAATTTATTCTTCTCGAATAATGTCTGTGACGTTGGTATGCAGAAGCTATTATTTATGTAATAATAATCTTGCCCATTAGACTCGGGCCTTGTAGAAATACAGTTGAATAAAGTCTGGAATCCTCACTTTATAAGACCTACTTCTTTGATCTATTTTTAACCTTCTATAATAATGATCTTATATTTTAGATACATATACAAATGTTCGAACATATATGAATAAAAAGTGTGCCCTTAGAGCTCGAACAGTTCCGGAAAAGTATTAATTGAAAAAAAATCAATAAACGTTATCACATAAAGTACTTTTTCAGTATAAATGCAAATTAAGATATAATAAATGCATTTAATTGAGTACAATTGTTGTCATTGAAAAATACAATATCCTTGTTTTCATATTTTGTTTTCTGTCAGGTAACTTTCAAGTAAAATTCTTCAGCAGTGTAAATATAAAGTTAAACTAGCATAAAAAGAGAGAATTAACTTTATAGATAACTCGCCACTTTGCAATATATTATAAAATTATAAATAAAAGAGCCAGATTACATATGTTTATCATTTGCACAGAAAAAAATTTCATTCAATTGTATTGATAAGGCTACAAATAATCATTTTCACATCAAAAGAAATGAGCATATACACATATACATATACAATACAAAAACATTTAATATTCAGGAAAAGGATGAGAACGAAATATTAAGTCTTATTAAATTCTTCTCCTTTTAGTGTGTTTGTATCATGTGGCGAGTTTTGTACTATATAAAAGTATGACAACTGGGGAATGTAAATATTTGGAAAGATAAAGATGCAATAATGTAATACAAGTAAGAAACTAAATAGCAATCAAAAATGACTGGAAGTAACAAAACATTACTAAATAGTAAAATTGTTTAAATTAAGAAAAGGAGAGAAAGAGAGAAAGAGTATCTCAAAATTACATCAGAGAAATAGTTCGGTTTCCGATATGTAAATATGAACATACTTAAAAATAGTGGCATATCTGTGTCAGAGATGTCAGGGTTGCCAAAGAGAAGAATAATAAGTGTAATGTTGAAATTGTTAAGACTTTGAAATATCTTTTACCTGTGTGTGTTGAGCATTCAAAGAAATAGTGGAAATTAGTTTCCATTTGTCCGCACTCGCATTACGGTGTAGGAGATATATTTTGGAGAAAAAGGTGATAGTTTAAGGAGCTGCATTTTGTGCGTAATCTTAATCTTGCATGTGATATTTGAAGTTTCCTGTCACCATAATAGAAGTATTTTGGAGTGTATTTTTTGTTGCGTTGTAGATAACTTTTGAACATTGAAAGTGTTGGCAAATTTCGTATGTTTAGGGGTAGATTGTTCCACTCACGTATGGCAGTTGGGAAAAAAGAATTAAAATATAATGAAGTTCTTGCTGATATACCGCTTGTGTCGTTTGAGTTCCTTAAGTTATAGCGTGTGTTTGTGGGATCTGGTATAGGCGAAGCCAGGTATTCAGGTGCCATGCCGTATTTGATTTTGTAAAATCAAATAAGTCTATGATTATGACGTATCTGCTCTAATGTTTCCCAACTGATTTAATTTTTAAGATTTTCTATGGAAACAAGCCTTGTTGAACCCGTTACAATTCTAGCACATTCATTTTGTATTTTATCTAAAAGATCAAGTTCATATTGAAATGCATTTCCCCAAGCATGTTCGAGAATTGGTCTTATAAACGACGTGTAAATTATTTCTAAAGATTAACGATCTAATACAAATTTTAATTTCCTCATTTTGTTTACCCGTTTCCATGCTTTATCATTAATCTATTCAATATGTGAGTGCCATTGGCAATTGTTAGATAAGATTAAACCCAAGTGTTTACCATCAATTACGTCTGGTATATTTTGGTTAAGCATTTTGAGTGGTTAGTGATAAATGTTTCTTTTTCTGGAGATGATAAGTGATTCTGACTTAGATGGGTTAAAGGTTAACAAGCCATTTGTCTGCCCATGCAGTTATTTTTTGAATATCTGATTGTAATTGTCGATCTGCAACCTGTAGGTTTTCAATGACAAGATAGAGACTTGTATCATCAGCAAAAAGTTTAACATTAGATTGAAGATCTATAACAATGTCATTAACATAAATAAGAAAAAGCAAAAGACCAAGGATCGAGCCTTGAGGGACACCTGCCTCAAGAACACCCCAAGAAGATTTTGTATTTGTTAAGACAACCCGCTGACGTCTAGATTTTAAATAGTCTTGAAACCAATCCAACAAATTGCCAGGTTTACCATAATATTTTAGTTTAAAAAGAATACATTTATGCCAGACCTTATCAAATGCCTTGCTAATGTCAAAAAATATAACTCTAGCTTCAAGGCCATTATCTAGAACTTTACAAAGAGTGTCTTAGATATATACAAGATGATTAACAGTTGAATCACCAGGGAAAAAGCGTGACTGCACTGGGGTAAGAATTCTATTTGAGTTCAAGTAATTGAAAACGTGCTTTAAAATGAGTCGCTCAAAAACGTTTTCTATAGTGTTTAACAATGAAATGGGTCTATAATTGTTTGGAAGAGATGCATCATCTTTTTTAAAAAATAGCTGTAACTTTGGCTTTCTTCATAGAAGATTGTACTTTGCAACATAATAAAGATGCACAAAAAGAAAAGATCGGTTAAAGGAATAGAAAGTTCTCGTGAAGATTCACGCAAAATTCTGTTACTTATACCATCTGGTCCAGATGATTTTTCTACTTTTAGAGATTTGAGAACTGCTTCTGTTTCAGATGAATTTAGGAAAATATTACCAAGAATAGTAGAAGTTGATGATGGACCTATGTCAGGTATATTTGTATTAGAATGTTCAATTTAAGTTTGTTTTAAAATTAATTATTTAAAAGGTTTGCTTTTCGGTCACCAGAGAAATCGATTTCCTGATTGTCTATATTTTATAGTGGGGGAATTGTCGATATTTGTGTAGTAGAAATTAAAGATTTTAGTGTTTTCCACAAGTCTTTTGAAGATAAGGACCCTGGTTTTAGTTTGTCTGATAACTTTGTGTAATACAATGATTTAGCCTCTCTAATCTGAGATATTATTTCGCTTCTTAATTGTTTGAATTTTAGCCAGTGAGAGTTCAATTGAGTTAATTTTGCCTTTCTATAAAATCGTTTACGTTTGCGAATATTATTTCTGATAGTATATGTCATTCACGGAGCATCTAATAGCCAGACATATATATTTTTGTTTAATATACATTTTGTACTGTTTTTAGACAGACGAATGATCTGGTTTGAA